GGTAACCAGCGTCGCAGCTGTCGCAAAGTAGGATATTCTGAGGGTCGTTGTCGGTACCGCAAGTCTCGCATCGGTCACCAGGTCTATCGTCGGCTGATCGAACGCGTGGGAAAGTTCGACTGGGGGTCGACTGACGAGGCTGTGTCATGTGTGAGCCCGCAACGGTAGGGGGGGCGTCCTTTTTGAGCCGCTTGCTACGTCGGCCGTTTGCTTCATCCACATCGTCGTTTGCACTGCTCTCTGGGTCCTGGGAAAAGGTTCGCTTCAGCTGGTTGAAATGCTGCCCATTGGCTAGCGGGGTCAGGCCGGCTCCGGGCGGTCTGAAGTCCGGGGTGTTGTCAGCTGAGAGCATGGGACTGCCAGCATTGCGCAAAGGTGTCGACGTGCGCGATTCCAGCACATCTCGATGTATCGCACTCGGCAAATTCGCCGCAGTAAAAGTACTAGGTGTGGATGGTTGTGTAGACGGCTTTTGTGCTGAGTTCGCATTGACCGCTGTGAAGCCTCCCGAGTTCACCGGTGTGAAGCCCCCCTGCATGGCAGGTCGTGAGAGCTCTGGTGGTGGAGTAGGCACAGAGTCACCCTGCAGTGTCGCGTTCAGCGCCGCTGAGGCTCGCATAGCCGGTGACTCTGCAGCGTTGGCGACAGGCGTACCCTGTAGCGATTTCTTTATGGGCGAATGGGCTGGTGACGGTGTGAAGGGTCCGCCATGCTCGTACTCCAGCATCTGCTGCACACCAGGTTTGACGAGTCGCAGATATTCCTCGTATGGGTGTAGCCATTTCTGATACGAGTTTTTGAGCGACGTCGACAGTGAAGACATTATCTTGCCGCTGTAGCCGAGGTCGCGTCCGATTTCAGCCCATTTCTTCTGCTTGCAAACACGTTCGAATCCACCTCTCTTCTCAACGGCCTTCTTGAGCTTGTAGAGATCCAAGGGGCGTTTGTCCACGCTCGGAAATCGAGTGAGGCTGTGGCCATGTTGCTTGTGGAATTTGGCGAGCTGATCGAGATAGTTCAAGTTGGCACGCGTGCCACCTTCAACCGAGTTGAGTTCCTGTCGCCGCGTGCGGAAGTGGAAGCGCTCAGTATCGATGGCGAATGGTGGCTTCCAGCTGTCTGGTGGGACAATCTTGACGATGCCGTACTTTTGCCCTTCTTCGCGAATGCTTTGGATGTATGCCACAGGGTCCTTGAACTGCTCGGCTGTCGGTCGATATGTGGGAGATTCGCGCAGGCCAAAAAGACGGTTCTGTTTGGGTGGCAGGTGGTTTGGCGCTCCATGTCCTCTGCGCTCCACGGTAGCGAGATCCAGCGGCGCTGCCTTGCGCGCGCTCAGAGGAATCGTGCTGGCCGCACTCGGCTGCGCACCATTCGTTGCAGGCACCGCAGCACCACCCATTCTAGATTTTGATGCGCCAGCTGCTGCGTCAGGCGTTCCACTGTCCGTGGCAACTCGAAAGGTAGTCATAGTGGCGCCCGTTGGGGGCCCGCCGGGGGGCATGAAATCGACCATAGTCTTCTTGCTCATGCATCAAGCGCTGTCGCTACGTGCAGCCCTAATTGCAGCCTCGTAACGAGATACGAGATGGTATGGAAGGTATAGCGATTGTCGTCGGGCGTGATTCGGTCGGTGGTGGGCGCTATCGAAGAGATATAGGCGTAGGCATGGGGCCTCTACAGCGGCAGGCGACCGCTTTCGGCCGCTTAGACTGTGCAATTCACTCGTAACAGAGGCAAATGCCAGTGCGACTAGAGAGTTGTCTGTTAGCGACCGTCGTGGTTGTGGCAGCACGTGCACAGCGAGGTTGGCGAGGCGAGGTGGAGGAGATATGGAGAGGATGGATGGGTCCGCTGAAGGGTGCGAGATTCCCGCTAACGGCGGATGCATATCACGCCCGCCCAACCTGGTACCGAACCCAGAACGTCGAAAGCTTGGTGCAGCAGGGCACGGCTAATATTATGCACGACGCTTCGACTCTGTGCGTCACATCGACGGAGACATGTAGAGCACTTCAAGTCAATACGTTCGTCGCATTGATGCGGCATCAAGATGCCACCTTGGACTGCAGTTGTGTGGTGAAGTCTGAGAGCTACGTCGTGCCGATCTGGCGACTGCACGCAAGGCTGCCGACCTCACCTCCTCGGCCTTTCTTTTGCGCCGCATTCTACCATGATGACGACCAGCGAACTACATTGGCTCCCAGAACAAGCACATATTGATCTGACTCAGATACAGTCCTTTGCGACTTACTTCTTCTTACTTTCCACTGTGAACACATGCACGGCTATCTTCGCCACTTGTTTGCATCACCATACCGGATCTCGAAACAACAAGCGTAGCAGTAGCAGCATTGCGCATTCCTATCGTATACTGTCGCGGTCTTTCTATCTCTGAGTTAAATTCACCTCGACGCCTGAACTGCTGCAGGTGAGGTCGGTAGCAAGGTTGTCTCGTCGGGAAGCACCCCAGCCCACCAATCACGACACACTTCATCTGCATCCTCCCGTCAGCCCTAACTGGCGGCTGCACGCTTTGGGATGCGATCAACAATAACATCACGACTTCATCTTTGTCATGAACTCAATCATGGCCGACTCTGTCAAAATCGAAAGCCGGCCCATCCCAGCCTTCTACTGCTGTTACCTGCTCCGCTCCAAAAACCGAAAAGCATTCTACATTGGCAGCACCCCCAATCCGGCGCGTCGTCTAGGCCAGCACAATGGCTCAAGCAAGGGCGGCGCGAAGCGTACATCAATGCAGGGGAAGCGGCCGTGGGAGATGACGTGCATCGTTACTGGCTTCCCCTCCAGAGCCGCCGCGTTGCAATTCGAATGGGCGTGGCAAAACACGCACGCCACCCGACACATAGAGCGAGAGGTGCGCGACGCGAGGCTGGAGGAGCTTCAAAAAGGCAGAAAGAACCCATCACCAGTCAAAAGACCGCGACCACCAATGTCGCTGGAAGCGCGACTGAAGAATCTACACCATCTGTTAGGTGTCGGGAGTTTTAGCCGATGGCCGCTGAACATCCGTTTCTTCGCTCAGGACGTGTTCGCGCAATGGGAGAAACATATCTCTAAAATGAAGACGAAGTTACGAAAGGACGTTACCATCAGAGTGACACCGGCTGAGCTGCCCAAACTTGCACCGGATGTGCAGAGCGAGATGCGCACGCACTTCATTCCAGAAATAATACGAGCGATCCCCGTGGCGTACGAGGACTGTAAGGCACATGTCGAGAAGTCGAAGAACATTCTAGGAGATGGCCAAAAACGAACCTGTGTTGTTTGCAAATTAGGCACGAGTGCTGAGGACTCGCTTGCGCTGGTCTGCCCGGTAGAAACGTGCCGTGCAGTGTCGCATATGGCTTGTATGTCGCAGAAATTTCTTGCAGAGGAAAGCAATGCAGATGCGCTCATTCCAATCCAAGGAACATGTCCAAGCTGCCATACTTCGCTAAGATGGTCAGACCTGATGAAAGAGCTCAGTCTACGCATGTATGGCGAAGAAGAGCTGAAAGTAATGTTCAAAACAAAGCGGAAGAAGAAGTCGGATGGAACAGTCGAAGAGGATGCGGAAGAGTTTCCAGACATTGACGAACTCGAGGTTGACCTGGACGAAGATCTCGATGAGACATGGGGGGAGAACGTGAACGATGACGAGGACAAGTGATCGTGTTTCAATCCTGGACGGCAACATCTACCACCCTTCCACCGTTCCCAGTGGCAGCTGGCCCTTTGCAACCCGCTCAATACACCTATCAACCTCCTGTCTAATCTTCGCCGCCACATCCGTCATACTCTCGCCCGCATCGATGCGCACAAAGTCCTCGCCCTCCTTCTTCTGCATCATCGTCTCGAACAGCTCGCGCACACGATCCTGCATATCCTTCCTCTCATACTTCTCAGTACCATAGCCACCTCGTTTCGCAGCGTCGTCAGCAGAGATGTCAAGGAAGAGACACAAGTCAGGACGTGGAAGCCCGACTTCAGGTTTGCGGCACCATTCGAGGCTCATGCTGGGGTTCTGCTTGGCAGCGGAGTATACGCAGCCGCTGTAGTAGTAGCGGTCTACGACGATGGTCGTTCCGGCTTCGAGGTCGGCTTGGATGGATGGTCTGGGTCATACATTAAGACATTGAGGTTGATATGTAGATGGGTGTGTTTGGCTTACACTGCTTCCCACCGGTTCGCAGAGAACAAGAGATGTATGACATGGTCGTCTTGGTCGCTCTGGCCACTCAGGTAGCTGTTGATCATCTGGCCGATCGGTGTCGTCCTATCTAGATACTACATCAGCGTTCGGCTCTATCCCATCAAACGTGCATTCGCGCGCCAGCGAATGGCTCCCCGTCTGTGTGCACATACCAGGAAACCGCATATGCCGCACCTTGATCCCGTCATTTTGCAGGTCATCAACGAGCATTTGACATTGCGTTGACTTGCCTGCTCGATCTAGGCCTTCGAAAACTATGAGCTTGCCTCGCGCCATGTTGTGGGGTTTGTGATACAAGAGGTCGTTGCTACCCTGCAGCGATTGAAGCGCGACCGAAGCAAGGCGTTGGTGGGGCCATCGCCACTCCGGCGCTAGCGACGAACTCATATTCACGGGCGGCGTCCATACGAGCGACCTTCAATGTTCTTCCAATATGCGAAAACAGGATACGCTCCTCTTCCCATTCGTCCACGTTACATGTGCGCATCTCCTGTAAGCGATACAGGTGAGAATCCAGCAATGTGATCGAATCGAAGCAGCCAACGACCGGTGAACCGAAGATATCTCTGCAGCATGATACTTGAAGTATGCAGACTACGCAAAACCAATAACATGGCTGATTCAAGGTCGTGCGAAGTCTGACATGCATACAACGGTCCCTACTGGCCGACGAGGTTGCCTACCGCGGAGAGGAGACAAGGCTGAAGCGGGGTTTGTCTGCATTCAAATATTGCGAGAGAATTGACAGAAACTCACCTCTTTGCGACCATTAACAAATACAATGAGTAGGACCAACGTCATGGAGCCTCCTATCGTCGATCTCGCGCGACTGAACGTCAACGACGCGAGAGAAAACAATGCTATAACCGATATCGTGCAAACAAGCACGATGAATGCTGAGCCAGCGGACTGGAAAATCATGGCGTGGCAAGCATGCCAGCAAGGACGTTCTGTTGATGTCAAGTCGATCCTGAGGAACTTGGAGCCTCAAGATGTCTCGCACTTCGTCAATGCCAGGGGCGAGGACGACAACACCGCCTTGATAATTGTTGCGGCTGTGGCTCATAAAGATGTGGCATGCGCGACAATCATTCCTGTCCTGCTGGAAGCGGGTGCCGATATCAACGCCAAGAACAAAAAAGGTCGGACTGCCTTGATGGAAGCAGCACTATGGGGAGGACTAGCAGCAGTCAAAGCTCTGCTGAAATGGAAGCGAGGCGTTCCCGTCAACGCAAGCTTGGAAGACAACTTCGGACTTAGTGCCATTGAACTGGCTGGGACGGACAGTAAACTCGCAACCGAGAGAAAAAACCGATGCGCTCATGGCAAAAATGTGCAAACACTTCTGGATGGGAAACTACGGATCCGCATCGTAAAGTTGTTGAAACCCGTTGACAACGGAAAGAATGTGCCCAGATCTACTCGACATGTGGACATGCAGAAGCGTATTGAAGATGGCAAAGACAGATTTGATGCAGACATCTTGAAGGAAACCCAGGCAAAGCTGAAGGCTGCGGAAGACTTGGCTAAACGCCACCTGGCTGATCTGGAAAAGACAAGAAGGGAGCTAAGAAAGAAGGAAGGGGAGCTCGTAAGAGAGCACTCGAAGTTAATGAACGCCCAGACCGACATGAACGATGTCTACGCAAAGTTTCGACCACCGAGCCGAAGCAACGTCGACAGAGCTGGTCAAAAGCCCCAATTTAGGAAAAGAAGGATGTCTATCAACCCCTCTTGGTTCAGATTCGATTTCACGATGACTTTCGATGTCGAGCCTGTGTGGAAGGACGCAACGATGGCGTACATGAAGATAAACGAAAAACATTTCTTCGCCAAAAACGGGAAAGCTCATGACACCCAAGATGGCTACATCTCAGGAGAGGATTACTCGGCAAAAGCTTTTCAGTTACTCAAACTTTTGCGGTCTCGTCACAAGTCAACATATTCCCAGCACGTTGAGCCACAGCTCATGGCTCTATACGTGGAAGATTTTCGAAACAGCAATAGCATGACATTGGTCCAATTTACAGAGCATCAGCCTACAGAAACGCTTTACGGGCACGGTAATCGGCTGGTAGTGGAGATATTTGTCAGTGCACGGCCTTGTCCAAAATGCGTGGAGCATACGGAGACGATAAACGTAGTTGCAAGGATGCATGGTTTCGAATTTGCGCTTATGCATACTGCATGTTAGCAATGGAACTGGGAGTTCACAGTTGTTTTTAGTATATAGACATGGTATAATTCGAACCGCCTTGATGCTGGGAAAGTGGTCACTACGTGTTCGTATCGTGTTGCCAGGCTTCACGCCTCCGCCGGTAGCGCTTTATACGGAACTTCAATCCTGCCTGTTCATTGCCGCCGCGCAAACAAATCACTGCCTTGAAACCGCATTCGGTTCTTTGCGATGCTGAGGAGATCGTGCAGGCGTATTCTTGAAAGAACTACAGGTTGCGAGCACTATCACGCTTGTTATCGAAGAGTAACAGCAAACAAGCCATGCAGCGGTTTATATGCCCACACTTTGTCTGATATTATGAGAATGATCACAGAAGCTCTCGCCATCATGTCTACACAGGCAGTCATACCCTGCGATGCCGCGCTAGAGGAGCTTAAGAGACCATGGTCCGCGACTACGTTAACAGAAACTCAACAACAGCGTCGATCAGACGTAGCCAGTGCGAAGATATTGTGGTCCCAAGTTTTGGTGGAGTTTCGGCAGAAGCAAGGAATGACCGTCAAGAATTACAATCTCAGAAGAAAGAGGCAGCCGTTCTTCCAGTTCTTAGATCTACCCGGTGAGCTTCGCAACATGATATACGACATCTGCCTGGACAACGAGAAGACGACAAGAAACCCTGATATGACGAAGAGGACGCGGGTTTATCGAGGATCAATGGGAAGCAAGAGCTTCTTAGACCACAACATACGGCAAAAGCGCGTAAAAGACATCCGCGCGCGAAAGCCGACCAGAGAACATAGGAAGCAAGATGCCGCTCGAAAAGTTGCGCTCGAAAAGATTGTAGAGAGAAAACTTAAGCACGCAATTCGTTCGAGGGACGGACTCACAGTTGGCGCCCATGAAGCTTTCTACCTGTACAAACTGGAGCACAACATGTATACCTTGCCATCAAAGAGGGTGACAGATGGCCAAAACAACCACGACCAAGGCATATTCAGGTCGGGCAACAGGACAACGAAGAAAGGTGTCCTGGAGATCGATGTCAGAGGCAACCTAGTCGACGACCTTCCGATGCTTTCCTATGTCGATCGTGCGATCTTCTCCGAAACCCTGTTCCTCTACTACTCCACGGTGAGAGAAGGGTTGTGGATCAAATGGACAGTCCGGAACCTGGACTTCTTCCCGTTCCTGCGATTCTATCAGGCATTCACCAAGGGTGAAAACGCGGTTGAAATTCCACCTTCAAGACTACACATTGAATTCGACAAGGAGAAGGAGGAGACTGATGACGGCCTACATGCGAAGAAGTTTGTCCATGTAAAGAGACTGGTTGAACTGCACTGGCTGGACGGCTTTTCGCTCTGGGGCTGCTTAACCGGGTTATCTGATCGTCAAGATTGCAAGGGACCGTTCGGAGACTACATGTACTCTGTCCGTCAGGTCGTGGCGTTGTACCGTATCGACCACGAAGCTTGGAAGTCGCTCTCTGTTGAATACCTTCGCCGTTGTGAGGAAATGGGTGATGACGACGCTTTGGAGAGTAACTTCGCAACACTCTCCGACGCCGAGCTTGTTGAAGCAGTCATCGATATGCTATGCAGAGCGATTGAGTACAACCTCGGGTACACAGGCAGCTATGGACGCATTGGTCGCGATCAGACTGAGTGGGATCAAGACATCTTCGAAACTTTCAGGTATAAGGGATCGCATGTCAAGACGGCTTATGAGAAGGAGCATGCGATTGTTCGTGTTGTCAGCCTGTATCGGAAGAAGGTCGACAGGACACTGCGGGATCGGCTGGGGGAGGTGTACGAGGATTGGGAGAGTGTTCCAGATGACGCGCTCATTCCTGAAGGGGTGGTGTTGTGATAGTACAGATAGATCGTAATATCTCTGCTTATGGCACATTGTGCGCGCCTTCTTGTTTGAGATCGTCGCGCAAAAGCCGATGCCTGTTCAACTTCATCGAGCAAACGGGACACGGAATGTCGGGGTTAACAAAGACCGGTTCCTCATATGTCTAGAACTGTAGTGCTGACATCGCGATACATCCGAAAAGTCCCCTTTGGTGTGTGATGAATCTCTCCGAGTTTGTGCCTGGCGAATCAGCGTTGGTGCTCCGGAGATCGGCCGAGCAACACGTGACTGAGATTTTGTCAGCACACCGTCGACCTACAACTTTGGTGGATCCAGGGCGTAAATCTCGACAACCCAAATTGCGGATGCCTAAATTCCGATCCGACATAAATCGCGACGTTTGCGAAGCGCAATGGAGTTCACAATCCACAGCCTCCACTATCTGAGCTGCAAGTCGCCGAATCAGAGTCAGCGGAGCTTGCTACTCTTACTACCTAGGTCCTCGCCGGATACGTCGATCACCGAGTGACCGAAGATATTCGGAATATAAGAGCAGTTGAAGACCCCCGATTCCTTCATACGAGCCTTCATTACACCTTCCAACACAAAATGTCATCACCGAAACTTATCGTTCACCACCTCCAAATCGGCCAAGGGGAGCGCATCCCATGGCTCCTCGAGGAGCTCAACATTCCTTACGAGTTGAAGCTGTACAAACGCTCGCCACTTCTGTCACCACCTGAGCTTCAGGCGGTCTACCCTATGGGTGCTTCACCCGTCCTTGAAGACCTTACCGATCCGTCCAACCCCGTTAAGATTGCCGAATCTGGCGCCATCACCGATTACATCATCCACAAGTATGGCAACGGACGGTTGGCCCTAAAGCCGCAAGACAAGAACTTCGCAGACTACCTCTACTGGCTTCATTTCGCGAATGGCTCGTTGCAGTCTGGACTGTTCAGAAGGGGCATGTCGCGCGGCATGGTTGGCGAAGACGACCCTCGTTACAAGGGCCAAGTCGCACGTTGTGATAAGATGCTGAGCCATATCGAAAACCGTCTTCAAAACAACAAATGGCTTGCAGGCGAGGAGTTCACCGCTGCCGAGACCATGACGGGGTGGTGCTTCACAACGATGCGCAAGTTTGAGCCAATGGACTTGACCGACTACCCGGGCATTTTGGCATGGCTGGGTCGCATTGGTGAGCGCGAAGCTTACAGACGCGCGATGGGTAAAGCCGATCCTGATCTCGACATTGAGCAAGGGATCAGCGCAAAGGGTCCTCCGATGATGGAGGCATTCGTGAAGGCTATGGCGATGAAGCCGTGAGTCCCTACTATGGTTGGGGAATGCGCGGCTGATCACCATAGGGGTCGCCAAAAGCTGTAAATAATGATGGAAAAAAAATGAATACTAGCTCCGCTCAAGAAAGGGAAACTCTCTTCTCATCGATTGTCTGGTTCAATGCATCTTCTGTTGATGATGGTGATGCTTGACATGTCGCTGCGTGCGTGTGCGACGAAGATAGCCCGGGATGGTCGGCCGCGTCCTTCCGGGTCCACTTTGACGCGAGTAGTCAGGTACAACAACACGCCATGCCTCCGACCTCATCATGGCCACCTGATCCATCACACCACTCTGCCGCTGCAGGTACGCGTCGCATCATCACTGGGATGATTTCGAAGGTACCAGAAATTGGTACCGTAGCATGAGCGTGACCTGAGAAGATCGTGGTCATGGCGAGCGGGGTTTCCTGCCAACCAGAGCGGTGGTACAATGAGATCACATAAAGCTTGCTGACCCCTCACGAGGGCATCTCCGCATCTGGGTACAGCTACATAGCTTGCTTCGAAGACACTTTCCAGCTAATCATACTGCTCAATTGCCCTCTACTTACTCTCAAATTACCGCCACAGCTTCAGCTACAGCTCCTCACGATGGCAGCAAAATACTCTCGCCGACCCAGCTACCTTGACGGCCCACTGTCTCCTTCCATCATCCCCGAGCTCGCGATTCTACCTCAGCCTCTCCCTGCCGACAAGGTTCCCTGCGGCCAGCTCGTCTCCAAGACGTCAAAGTACACATCCAAAGCCCTCGAAGACCGCGACTACGACGACATTGGCACACGATGGTATGTCAGAGTCTATGTACACGACTCATGTATTATATACTGACTTCCTCAGGTATAAAGACGTCATCTTCTTCAACGCCGAGAACGGAAACTTCGTCGAGAGCTTCGGCGGCACGCACCTACTCCAGAAGCCGCTTGACAAGGGCACAGAGGCTGGAACAATCGAGGCGGACGAGCAGAGTGTGAGACTACTCAAGGATGCCGATGCCGCACTCCAGAAAGTCTGGCAAGATGAGGAGGCCAGAAAGTGGATCATGGAACAAGACCAGGCCGGCTTCGTGGTCGCCCATCGCCAGGTCTCCAACGCAAGCTACAAACGCGCCAGGCTTGTCGACATTGGCAATAAAAATTGGGAAGTCGTGCGCGAGGTTGGCAATGAAGATGCTACTGGTAAGCGCAGGGACTCTGGTTTGCCTGTTGAGACGAACAGCAAATGGGACGTGGTAGGGGTCGTGGTTAAGAAGATCATCGTCGAGGGCGATCGTGTGAAGCTCGGTGATGAGCTCGGAGCTCAGTACTGGCAGTAGCAGTATAGCTGAACAATCTCATAGCATATGTATATTTCTTACAATTTTAGCAACTTGTCGAGGATGCATCTGTCTTCCGTGTGATTGTACATAAACGAAATATCATTTCGGTATATTCTGCGATATTTGCTCGCGGGTCTCTGATTGGCCACTATGAAGACATGTCTCCGTTAGGCCTTCCATAACGACACAGGGGTGCGGGTATATTGCTGACATATAGCATTGTTCTTGCTGTGAAAGCGACGTATGATAAGCGCATATTGTTCAGCACAGGAATCATGATACGACGTGCACATCTTGAATGAGCGTCAATCGTAGGAGAAAGTGAATCTACAATGGGTTGCGATGCGTTCATATTATGTACATGGGAAGTATATAAGC